TTCCCCCCCCCCCCCCCCCCCCGAACACCATCCCTTGTGAGGTCAGTTGCCTCAACATCCTCTGACAGGGGACATAGCTCCGGGTCCCATCCAAGTACTTCTGGTACTGGCATGAAACATCTGTCTAAGGACCTTAACTGGGCAGACCTACAGCCCTCTGCACAGTCTCTTGGTTCTGGAGACCGAGACAGACTGACTTCGGGAGCTATGGCACCGACACGACCATCGGCACCCATCAAGTTTTCAGCTCCACTTGCTGATTACTCCTGCATGTCTCCTTCGGCACAGAATCATGCTCCAGTACTGATGATGCTCCTTTCTCCACCACAGGAATCCAGACATCCTAAAGACCTGCTGGTATATGACATACCTGTGTCACCTCTGCTCAGACACAATCTCCCCCCACTTCCACCCTCCTCTCTGGACATTCCTCCCTTTCTCCTCCAAGGACAGCACCTCCCTTCCCCAGTGAGGAGGCGGAAGACGAGGAGTGGGGCTCCATCATGCCCTCTTATTTGAATCCCACACAATCTACTTCTTCTACATATCCTCAATATGTGCATTCCACACCCGGACCCAACCCTGGTATGGACCAGAGTGGATGCAACCCCACGTTCTGCTTCCCCCGCATTGGCTCTATTGGGATCCCTGGGCCACGTACACGGCTGTCATGCAGCAAAGCTGGAGACCTACATCTTTGCCTTCTCCATCAATCTCTTGCCCACCAGAGACTCCTCCCTTGGAATGAGGTGAGGAGGAAGAAGTTTCACCAACACTATATTTCTCCTCTTCTTCCCCTAATGAGGCTATCATGCCACCACCTACTACTGCTGATGACTTCAAACACTTCCAGGAATAATTCCTCTGGACTCCCTCCAGCCTTATTTCTTTTGGAAATTAATGAGCGGTTAAGACATGAACATGAGAACCTGGTAGTTCCCACGCTCATGGGTCTGTTTTGCTCAGAAAAAGGGAAACGTATTTTGTGTTCTTTGATTGTAAAAATCCAAATTCTTCTTCATCATGCAGATACTGGGTAAAACGTTCCAAAGTGCCTATGTGACTTAGGAGCCTGTCTTATTTTCTGAAGCAACTTAGGCAGTTAGGTGCCTCTTTTATCTTGATTTTAAAATAGATTTTAGGCTTTATGCCAGGAATGCTACCGTTAGTGTAAATCCCACTTTCCTATAACTCAAATGTAATACTGTTTATTGTTTACTTTGTTAGAATTGTATCTTGTTTTTTAAGAATGTCCAACTTCCAGTAATAATCAAGATTAAAATACTAGTAGTAATACACTATCACAGTTGTGATTCAGTGAGATATTTTAGAACCATCTTCATTGAAGTAACTTTCCTTTTTATTAAAGGAGACCAGGTATCAGCTACTTCAGCTGCGTCCAACACAACGGGCTTCATGGATTGGATATGCTATTGCATATCATTTGTTAAAAGATTATGATATGGCCTTAAAACTACTGGAAGAGTTTAGAAAAACTCAACAGGTAAGACATAAAGAAGCAGAATTTGAATAACTACAAATATTGAAGGGGGGAAATGGCTATTGTTTGTACAATTTTGTTTTTCATTTAGCATCTTGGGACCTATTTCAGCAGATAATTGCATCTATGAACCTTTTACTCTTGGGGGGGGGGATTCTGCGGCAAAAAATTAAATTCTGCATATTTTATTTGTCAAAATAATGCAATATAATCACACCAGTTTCAATTGTTTTGGTAATTTATTTAAACTACAATACAGAAAAAAGTCACACTAGCTATTCAGCATTTCCTAAACACGTGAAACATGACCTACAAGCAAAGATTGAAAAAATTGGGTTTGTTGAGTCAGGAGGAGAAAAGACTTGGGGAGGGGTTTTCAAGTACATAAGAGGTTGTTATAAAGAGGAAGGTGATAAATTATTCTCTTTAACCACTGAGGACAGGGCAAGAAGTAGTGGCTTAAATTGCAGCAAGAGAGTTTTAGGTTAGACATTAGGAAAAACCTTCCTAATTGTAAGGATAGTAAAGCACTGGAACAAATTACCCATGGAGCTTATGGAATCTGTCATTGGAGGTTTTTAAGAGCAGGTTAGATAAATCTGTCAGAGATGGTCTACTTAGTCCTGCCTCAAGGCACGGGAGTGGGCTAGCTGACCTATTGAGGTCCCTTCCAGTCTTACTTTACTGATTTCTATATTTACCTTTTAGTTCCCCCTGCAGTTTGAACTGAAGACATTTTTCTTCGTGCCTTAAATGGTTGTATAGCTTTACTGAACGATGTTCAGTAGTTGCTGTGTTCCACCTTTTAAGGTTCTTGCATTTCATTAGTAGCTAACGAGGTTTGGGTACATAGTTTAAGAGCATTGTGATCTCCCAGCATGAAAGGGGTCTGACTTGAATGTTCCTGCTGAAAGGGAATCTCTCTGACTTGGCAAGTGCTGCTGCTGCTCCTGTGGGTGGGTGACTGTTTCATTGTAGCTATAGTAAATTTCCATGTATTCTGCAGTTGAGGTGGTAGTGGATCTCAAGGGGATAGCCTGCCTGAGAATTTATAGAGCACAACAGATTCAATCTTCCACTGCATGGCAAGGAGTGGTGGGGAGAGAGGAGATGGTGTGGATTTTTTTGTTTTGTTTTTAAGTGTAGGGGCCTACCAATTGATGGTCCATTTTGGTCAATTTCACGGTCATAGGATTTTAAAAATTGTAAATTTAATGATGTCAGATATTTAAATCTGAAATGTCATGGGGTTGTAACTGTAGGGGTCCTGATCTAACTGTGAAGGCAGAAGTGAAGAAGTAAGGGTGGCATGGTACGGTATTGCCCCCCTTACTTCCGCGCTGCTGCTGCTTGCAGGGCACTTCCTTTAGAGCTGGGTGCCTGGCCGGCAGCTGCTGCTCTCCAGCCACCCAGCTCTGAAGGCAGTGCAGAAATAAGGGTGGCAATACCACAACCCCCTACAATAACTTTGCCACAAAAAAAAACCCCACAACCTTCTTTTGGCTCAGGACCTCCAGTTTGAGAAACGCTGGTCTCCCTTGAGAAATCTGTAATAGGGTAAAAGTAAACGTAAGACCAAATTTCATGGGGGAGACCAGATGTCATGGTCTGTGATGCATTTTTCACGGCCATGAATTTGGTAGGCCCCTTCCTATACACTACCTCCTCTATAGTGGTAGGCATCCAGTGACCAGCTTCAGTTGATTTTGTCTTAACTAAATATTTGTGAGTTTTACATTTTAAATACATTGTGAGGTCTACATCTCAATGTCATCTGCTGACTGAATCTTAAAATGCCTTGTGTACAATTGCACACGGCCTAGTTACAAGTGGTATGGTGCATGCTAATTAACCTGTCTTTTACAGATTCCTCCTAATAAAATAGATTATGAATATAGTGAACTGATCCTATACCAGAACCAAGTGATGAGAGAGGCAGATCTATTTCAAGAGTCTTTAGAACATATAGAAACATATGAGAAGCAAATATGTGACAAGCTTGTTGTAGAAGAAATCAAAGGTAAAGCTTTGTTTTTTCTCTTCCTACTCACCTTGCCCCAAACTATAAGTATCTACTGGCTTTTAAATATCATGATATCAAAATGAGGGTTATATTTAAATAATTGTTTTATAGGTAAATTTATTAACATCAGATCTATAATTTGGTATTTTGTTAAGCTTCTTTGACAAAGTGGAGTGTTAGTGGGGTGACATTACTTTGATATGGAATGGAAATAAATTGGGAATGAAATAGCATTCCTTATTATTAGAGGGCCATTCACAGAAATAGAGTATATCTCAAAGACTGATCAGTAGTCTGTGTACAGTAGGTCAAAACTAGTAACCCACTCATCTTTACTTAGCCCTGCAAGTTAAGAAATGTAATGCCCTGTGTGTACAAAAATGTTGGTTTCCTGCTTGGAGCATCAGGTTGTGGTTTCTTTTTAAATGCATCAATGCCTTTTTTTATTATCATACAGTTTTTGCACAAAAAAAATAAATATTTATTGTTCAGTTAAAATTGATGCATTAGGGTTTTTTAAAAACTTGGACTGCTGAGGTTCTGAATATGTGCAACTATGTGACACAAACAGATTTCAAATATTCCTTAATTGACATCTATGCTGGGAATCTCTCTTAGGGCAATGTGCCTGTATTTAAAATATTTGGCAAGACATTTATCAAATTGCCTATATTAGTTGTGTCCAAATTGCCTTGAAAATATGTTCCCTGAGCTACGTTCTCCACAGTTTAAACCACTGTGGTGTTACTGATATGAGTTGGGAGCGCTCTGGGCATGCTGCAGCTGCTTTGCAGCAACCCCAGTGGCCACCTGCTGCCTCATTGGGAGGGAGGAGAAAGTAGTCCTGACTGTTCTATTGCCTGTTTCCCTACTTGATATGGGAATCCCAAGAACAGCAAGATAGGAGCTTGAGTGGCTGTGCCTGTCAAGGGGAGTACCTACAAAAAGATGAGTCCTTTACCAATAGCCCAGGTGGCTGCTCTAGCTTGTGCCAGCTGGCAACGGCTCCTTAGAGACCATCCCTCTGCTGGAGATAGCCCTGGTGCAGCACACACTTCTCCTCCCTGCCCCTGAAACGTGCCCTGCACCTGGAACTCTGGGGAAAGTGTAGGGAGCAAGCAGAGGATTTTGTGGGTAGTTTTCACTCCTTTTTTGCCACTTGAGCTGTGGAATGGGGCATATAATCTACCCCAAAGTGTGTGTTTGTAGCCCCTTAACCTTCTTGAAAGAACCTGTTTGGTCCTCACACTGAAAAGAGTGGACAACATTGGCATGAATACTGATATAAAATCCTATTGCAAGGTCTGTCCAAAAAGAAGTAGAGTGGAGGTTTCTGTGAGAACTTTAAATTTTCTGAATATGGGCCAGTAAATTTGTAAACTTAATGTTTCGTCAGTGTTGCTTGCATTGAATTTGAAATGCCTCCTTTGGCTAGCTAATACAAATCCACTAACTCTGGTCTTTTTTTTTATATCTGGATAGGTTAGTGTCATAAAACCAAAAAAAAAGGCATCTAAACAAAAATAACCTTATTTTTCAGAATTGCTGAATGCTCACAAATACCATTGAAGTCACTGTGAGGTAGAGTCGCTCAATGGGATTTCTGGGCTGGAAAACACCTCTGAAAATTAGCCACTTTTATTTTGCTAGATGCTTAAATATGGCTTATGGGATTAGTTTTAGGTACCCAATTTTGAAAATTTAGCCTCAAGCCATAAGTATACTTTCATTTAACTCACATTGTTTAACTGTATTGTTTTAGGAGAAATGTTGTTGAAGTTGGGAAGACTAAAAGAAGCTGGTGAAATATACAAAGAATTAATTGATCGGAATGCAGAAAACTGGTATTATTATGAAGGCTTGGAAAAGGCCCTACAACCCAGTAAGTAATGCAGCGATGTACTTAATTTCCTCCTTTGTATTTAAACAATTGGTGTCTGATAGAACGTTACAATTTGAAATTGGAACATCACAATTTAGCTGAAAAATATTTGTGTATCTTCTGAACTTGAACAATCTGTAGTCAGATTTACTCATTTAAAAATTAATTGAAAACATCTGTGCATGTAGTACCAACACTCACCCTTTCTTTAAAGGTCATGCTCGCTAGCCCAAGGAGAACTTTTCCCCTGCACGCACACTTTATAAAGGGAGTTGTCATCACTAGCTGATTCTCACAGTAATTTGTTTGGATCAAGTTACAGGACTGCCACTTTCCAATTTGAGATTTCACTGGATAATAGCTTTTTAAAAAGGAACAGAAGTCTTTTTTTATTAAACTCACAGGCAGATTAAATATATTGTTTTAATTTCTCTTGGCTAGGACCCTCTAAAGCAGAGGTCTCAAACTCAATTTACCTTAGGGCCAGTGCCAGTCCTCACATCCTCCCAATGTCACTCATGGCCCCCAAAAACTCCGCCCCCCCCCCCATCTGCCTAAGGCTCTGGGACGGAGTGTGGGTGGGGGAGGAGGTCTGGGGTAGGGGATTGGGGTGCAGCCTCTGGGAGGGAGTTTGAGTGCAGAAGGGATGAGAGGTTGGGCTCTGGGAGGGAGTTTTGGTGGGGGAGAGGGTCCGGGGTGCAGGTTCTGGGGTGGAGTTTGAGGACTGGGGGGATGGGGAGGGGGGGCAGGCTTTGGGAGGGAGTTTGGGAGCTGGAGGGGATGTGTGGGAAGGGGGTAGGGGTGCACGCTCTGGGAGGGGGTTGGGGGTGCGGCGCTTATCTGGGGCTCCACGGTGGGGCAGACCGGGGAGCCTCTGCGCGTTTCTGCCCCCCGGCGCTGCCTCTGCAGCATCCCACTGGCCACAGGGGCACTCAGGGCAGGGGAAGTGCGTGGAAGCACAGCCCCGCCCCCTGGGCCTCGGAGGGGCTGGCAGCCAATGGAGTGAGCAGGCAGATGCCACTCAGCTCTGCTGCGCTGCCGGGGCCCCTGAGAGGGAAGCGTCCGGGGGCGGCAGGTGGGGCCAAGGGAGAGACCCAGCCCCAAAACTGCTGGAGCCCTGTGGGCCACATTGGGGAGGCTTGTGGGCCGCAGATGGCCCGTGGGCTGGGAGTTTGAGACCCCTGCTCTAAAGGCATATCATTTTAGCAGGGACTAACTTTCCCGTGGAAGAGAAGAAAGTAGAAATAATTAAGGTTTTCCTAAAAGTTAAAGCTCACTCCTGGTACGGTTATTCTGGTCTTCCAGAAAAAAATAGCTAATAATTTTTGCGGTGTACAATACTGGAACAGCAGATACCTATGACCAAGAAATGGAATCAGAACTTCCCAAACGTTTTTCTTAAAACATAATTTTAAAAAAAGTTCCACAATTGAATAGAAAGCAGAAGGTTTTTTATTGGATTAATTCTGATAATATTATAAAACCACAGACATTACTCATAGATGTTGTAGTAGTAGTAGTAGTAGTAGTATGTTTTTAATGCAGTTTAGATTTTCCCATGTTTAAGTAAATAGTTGACACTAAAAAGGTGTCAAACTGTTAAAAGGTCTGCAAATAGGACTTGAGGTTGAGTGAAAGTTTGTAATTAAGTTGTTTAAACATATTTATAGACTAGGATTACTGGTGTGTATTTGTTACATTGTATCCATAGAACTGGTAGTTAATATTGCCTAAACCAGGGGTGGCCAATCTGAGCCTGAGAAGGAGCTAGAATTTACCAATGAACATTGCCAGAGAGCCACAGTAAAATGTCAGCAGCTGCGCCCCGCCTCGGCAGCCCCGCCAATCAGCGCCTCCCCACGCCTCCTGCCCGTTGCAATCAGCTGTTTTGCAGTACGCAGGAGGCTTTGATGGGGAGGGGAGAGGAGTGAAAGCATGGTAGGGGAAGGGGCGGGGGCCTTGGGGGAAGGGGTGGAGTGGTGGCAGGACCTGGGGCAGAGCAGAGGGTTGAGCAATGAGCACCCCACAGCACATTGGAAAGTTAGCATCTGTAGCTCTATCCTCGGAGTCAGTGCCTATGCAAGGAGCTGCATATTAACCTCTGAAGAGCCGCATGCAGCTCCGGAGCCACAGGTTGGCCACCCCGGCCTAAGCCAATGTTTCTCAAACTATTGACTATTGTGGGTCACACATGCAGCTCTCACATGGGCCACATCCACACAATATATATATATACTACCTGTATGGCCCTGAGGATGTCTCATGGGCGGCAGCTGTGTACTGATTGGGACGCAAGTGGGCTGAGAATCACTGACCTAAGCAATTAATCTAGTCAATGGGTTGACTCTATTATTCGGTTTCTCTCTGAAACATTTGGAAACTCTCATTTATAATTATTAATAAAGAACAAATGTGTATATGTAATGTACATTTCACATAAAAATCCTATATCGATTTTAAACTGTACTAATTATAAAACATAATAATGCTACTTTATTTTTTTTAGGTGGTCTTAGGACTATTTCCTCCCCCATGGTAAGTTCTGGAGCTCCAACCTGTGTTTTCATATAGGGTTTTTATATGCTTTAGTTCCAATTTTAATATTTTAATTTATTACTCTAATAATTATGTATACCCTGGAGCCAGTGGGTAACATACGTGTGTGTGTGTGTGTGTGTGTGTTTGTGTACATATATATATTTCCCCACCACCACCATCAGATCTCAATGACATGAGGCTTTTTACGTATGAAACAAATGTCCAAGTATAACTACTAAGCATTTTTCATGCTATATCCTTGATCTTAACTTTCAATATTATTTAAGTTCACCAAGCAATTTGACTTTTCAACTAAATTCACTTATGAATGTGAAACAGCATTTCAAAACCAATAGATCAGTTTGTTTTAAAGTTCTGACCACATTGGAGCTCCAAAGCATATTATGGGGGAAAGGGGAGGAGTGGGAAGGAGGTCTAAAGAAAACAAAAGTTCTTAAACTTGATGTATTGACAGTCCTGATGCTAAGTGCTTACATAGTTAGTATTAGTTTACTTACATTGCTGAAACTTTTGTAATAAAAGGCTTATTTGTGTATTTTTAAAATACTTTTAAACGATTAAATGGTAGTTCTTTAAGAATTTGTCCTAAGTGGATTCATATTGATAGACAATTTGTTTGCATACGTTATTTGCAAATGTTGAAGTACTGTTTTGTGAATGGGATTGCACAGTATGTAGTTGTAAGAAAATAAACACAATCTCCCTGTGGTTGGAGGCACAAGGTAATTAGGTTCTCTGCTGTTAATTACTTAAACAAGTCATAACAAAAGATAGGGTCTGTTATATATACAACACACTACCTTCTTCTATAGTGTATTTGATTAAATAATGAAAAACTTAGTGTAAATTTTTGCAGTGTTGTAACTAAATCTGTACCTTCTGGTAGGGTTAGCTAATTTAAAATTTAGAATTACAGATTTTTTAATGTCTTTTTTAAAACAAGAATTTAATGCAAAAATAGATTTTTCTCTCCAGTGTTTCTTACATCTGTTATATTTGCTGATAATAGGCACTTTAGAAGAGAGGCTTCAGATTTATGAAGAAGTTAGTAAAAGACATCCCAGAGCAGTTTCACCTAGAAGATTACCTTTAAACTTTGTTCCAGGTAACAAACTGCATATCTGTTCCATAATCCTATTAATTTTTGTATTTTATTAAGGTGTCAATAATTAATTTGTCCTAAATTTTGAGCATCCATTTATATGTAAAGGTGCATAAAGCTTGGTTTCAACCACTTGAGGACTATGCATCTTTGTTGATATGGACAAAAATGTCAGTAGTACACTACAAAGGCTGATAGCAAAAGGTCCTGCATGGTAATATTTTGCCTTTACTGATGAAACTACAGTGGATAGCTGTGTATATATTGTAAGAATAGCTCGCTCTATATATATAATGCCTTTGATCCTGTGCTGTGTGTTAGGTGATATCCCCAGATCAGAGTATGAAATGTGGTAAGCTATTGTATTAAGGGAATAATAAATTTCAACTTTTGTTTCTTTAATTGTTTATACACTGTGATAACATTCCTCTCTAGCCTCTTAGAGGAGAAGTCACCTAAGACTGACTTTATATTATTGACAGAAGAAGTTTGCCTGTAAAGCTAGCAGCAGAAGAAATTGGAAGCTCTACTTACTGTTCAGATGTTGCACAGAAAACTATAGTAGAGGCTTCTCTGTACTGCTTCATTGGCCTGGAACCTAGTTGTCAGCAACTGCACCCCCTGAGTTAGAAGCTTGATTTTTTTTTTCAGGTGTCCCAAGCCCTGTCCCTGTATCTCCCTGTATTTTATAAGCTGGAACAAATGCTGATAAATGTATATAGCAATCACCTGTAAAGTGGGCCTAATTTAACTTGCAGTTGTGAACAAACTCTAGTGATGGTGGCTTTCCCAAGAAAGCTCCCAGCCTACCTCAAAGAATTTTATGCTACAATGTAGTGCAGTGTTTGTTAAAATTTTAACTTAATCTCTAATGTAAACTACTATTACCATGCTGTACCTTGCCAGGTTATCTGTAGCTCAAAACTAGGTTTGCAGCATTTTCCAGTATGAAGTTTAATTGTAGCATCATATTCAGCAATGCTATAGTTAACTTTTTTTTAATGACTTTGTTAAAAGCTCTCTATTTTGGAGAGTTTGTTACACTTAAAAAACAAATTATAAAAACCTTCTATACTGAAACATGGTACATAAGTGTTCTCAAGTCTGGAAAAATGATTGAAAATTGGTTCTTCCAGTGATTGCACATGTGCATTCCACTCTTGGTACATGTGCATCCTGTCCATGGTTGTCAGAAACTTTTCCCCTTAGCGTTACCTGTTGATGTGGCTCAAGTGCTCTCTGTCTCATGACCCTGTGAGCAGGCGTAGAGGGCAGAGCTGCCTCTGACCCCCCTCAGTTCCTTTTTACTGCCCAGGATGGCTGCTGGATCAGTTGGTCTTGCTTTAACAAATTCTCTCGGTGTGTCTTATTATTTTGTAGTGTTAGTGATTTGTTTTTTTAAAAAAAGTTGTTTTTTTGGTTCCCCTACTCTGTGTTCCATTTGTGGTACTGAGGAATGCATTGATTACTGTGTTTCAACCCTGGTTATTCTTGCTCCAAGATGAGGTCTGTGAGTGACCTACATTCCAGCTGTTTGAAGTACCTGGCTGAGTCTTGCATATCAGACTGTTGTCAAATTTATAAGGACTTTGAGCCTAGGACCAAAAAAGATAGATGCCAGGCTGAAGTTTCTTTTGATGGAAGCTACTCTGAAACTACCATTGGAGCTTTCCTGCTCAAAGAGGGGGACCACTTCTTCAGCTTCAGTTACAAGCGTTCTGCCAGTGTTGGCAGAGTTCTGGCATCAGTCATGATCTCCGGTGCCGAGGAAGAAGCATAAGGCTTCTAAGGAAGAGGCTGGAAGAGGAAGATTTCTTGCTCTTATGCCCACTGAGAAGAGTGATGGAGGATTGAATAGATCATTGGGTAAGGAGGCGCTGTTGACTCCAGCACCAGGACAGGCACTGTCCTCAGGAAGGTCCTCACCCCCACCTGATGACTTCAAGGCTCATCAGGAACGTTTTGAAAATGGTTGCCTCAGCCTTGGATATCCAAGTGAAGGAAGATAAGGAGTTGTCCAATAGACTAGATGACATTTTTACTGCAACTGGCCCCCTTGTGTGGCCTTACCAATTTATGAGGTGATTTTAGAGCCCCACCAATAACCTGTGACAAACTCCCTCCTCACTTCCTCTGACATCCGAGAGGATGAGGATTGATACTACTATATGTACCTTCACAAGGCTTTGAGTATTTCTTTTCACATCCCCTTCCAGGGTCATTGGTTGTTTTGAGAATTATTAGGAGGGAACGCTAGGGGCAACAGGCTGTGATCCCTAAATCACAGGACCCCAAAAAACTTGACCTGCTTGGTAGGAACATTTATTCTATGTCTGGGTTACAACTTAGAGTTGCTTTTGTTAAGGTGTTGTTGAGTCTCCGATATTAGTCATATCAAAACTTAAGGACTGCTTACAGGAGGACCTGAAACAAGAGTTTCTTTCATTGGTAGACAAAGGAAAGCTGATGGCTAGCACATCACTCCAGGCCAGTTTGGATGCTGCTGACTCAACTGCTAGTGCCATGACCTCTATTACAATATGGGGGTGCTCATGGCTGTAGTCTTCGGGGCTGCCCCAGGAAATCCAGCATACTGTTCAGAACCTGCCATTTGAAGGACCTATTCTCAGTGCAGATAGATGACAAACTGCATGGTTTTGAGTCACTATGGAATCTTTTAAAGTCTCTGGCTATATGTACACCTGCCTTGACAAGAAAGCACTTTTGTCCACAGTAGTCCCGCCAATATGCTACTTTTGCACTTCAACAAGACCTATTAAGGAAAAAGAATTGGGGTTATAGATGCAGACCATCCCCCTTCATCTACTGCAACAGCTTCTAGTTCATCTAGGCACCCTGGGGGCGCTAAACAGACATTTTGATGGGTTAATTGAGACTATCATACCAGTCTCCAAAATTCCAGCCCCTCCTCTCTCTTTTTGCAAACCAGCTATTCCACTTCCTAGTTGGTTGGTCCCAAATCACTTCAGACCAGTGGGTTCTAAACATTGTGGAAGTGGAATACACCCTTCATTTTATTTCTATACCTCCCTCCTTCCTTGTCCCTCTTCTTGTGAGAGTGGTCCCTGGAGGTCCTCCTCCAGGAGGAGCATTCTTTGTTTCAGTTGGGAGTCATAGAAGACTTTCAGCAGTATTCCAGAGGGACAGGCTTTTATTTCTATTTCCTTATTCTGATAGCAAAGAGATGTCTCAGACAAGTTTCAGTCTGCGTCAACTCAACAAACATCTGAAAAAAGTAGTTTTGCATGGTCTTGCTGGCCTCCATTAGCCTCTCCCTGAATTCTAGAGATTGGTGTGCTGCCCTCAACTTGCATCACCACATGGAAATACATGTCCTGTATCAGGGTCATGGGAAGTATTTAAGGCTCCAGGTGAACCTTTCTCACTACCAATGCAGTTCTACCCTTTGGCCTGTCGCTCCCAGAATTTTTACGAAATGTATAGCATTAAGTGCATTTATGAGGAAGTTTGGGTGTGCAAGTGTATACATAACTGGATAACTGGCTGGTGAGAGGCTGATACAGAGTTCAGGTACTATCTAGTCTCTCTCATCCACTCAAACTTCAGGGCTCTGGGACTGTTAATCAATACACAGAAATCTATCCTCTCCCTTGTTCAGAGAATAGAATTAATAGGGGTGGTCCAGGACTTGACTCAAGCCAGAGCTTTCCTTCCATGATCAAGATTTCAGGCAATTCAATCCATCATTTTAGGTCTCGTGGTTCACCCAACTACAACAGAATGGAATTACATGTGGCTTCTGGGGCACAGGGCCTTTTGCAGGTACATAGTCCAACATGCCAGATTGTGCCTCAGGAACTAGTCGTGGCTGTCCTCCATATTCTCTCCAAGCCATCACCCTCTAAGCCTTGTGGTGAGGGTAGCCTCTCAGGTTTTAGCCTCTCTGGACTCTTGGACGAACCTTGTAAACATATGTATAGGCATTCCCTTTGTAATGCTCAGCCTTCATTGACAATAGTGATAGATGCGTCTGCTCTGGGTTGGGGGGGCTCATCTGGGTTCCCTTAAGACACGGTGGTTGTGGTCCAAAAAGGACTTGTTTTTACACACACATTTCAGGGAAATGAGCTATTCAGCTGGTGTCAGGCTTTCTCACCCAAATCAATGGGAAAAGCTTGCTCATTCTCACAGAAAACACAATGGCAACGCTCTGCCTCAACAGGATGGGAAGGACCTACTTGTCCTAGCTCTGCCATGAGGCAGTCTAACTCTGGGATTTTTGTATTGCCAATTCGGTTGACCCCACAGTCTCTTACTTTCCAGGGGTGCAGAATGAGCTTGCAGATCATTTAAGTCACCATGAGTGGTCTCCACATCTAAATATAGCCAGGCACATTTTTCAGCTGTGGGGGACTCCCCAGCTAGACCTCTTTGTAGTAAGAATCACAGGAAGTACAAGCACTTTTGCTCCCTTCAAGAGCATAGTTAAGGTTCCCTCACAGAAATTTTTTTGCGGCCCTGGTATGGGCAAATTTCTGTACGCTTTTCCACCAATTCCACTTCTTCCAGAATGTTGCTAAAAATCAGACAGCATATGCTTGAGTCCTACATATAGCCCCAGCTTGGCTTTGGCAGCACTGGTTCTCCACCCTTCTCCCTGTAGGTAAAAGCTCTGATATCTCTTCCTTTGGACCCACGCCTAATTTCTCAAGACCATGGTCAGCTATTCCACCCAAATTTGCAGGCACTTCATTTAACACCCTGGATCCTTCATAGCTAGACCTTCAGGAAGAGTCTTGTTCAAAAGAGGGTTTAGAATGTGCTTTTAAATAGTAGGAAGCCATCTATATAGATCTATCTAATTGACGAAGTGGAAGCAGTTCTCTCTTGTCCGAACAATTTGGAGTCTCGCTGACACATTCTTCGACTATCTCTTATACCTAAAACAATAAGTATTAGCTGTTAGCTGCTAGGTGGACTTTGATAGAGGTATTTCGACTTTCCACCCTTAGATTGATACTCTCCGTATTTTCTAATAGGATGTCAATAAGATTTTTGAAAAGCTGCCTGCTCCTTACTGCATCTTTCAATGAAGATAGCATTTTTGGTGGCCATCTATGCTATTAGGAGGATAGGTGAACTACGTGCATTAATGCTTGGCCCTCCATGTAAAATTTCCTTTAAGGCTTACCCGTGTCCTTATCCAAAGTTTATTTCACAAGTGATGTATAACTTCCGTATCAACCAAGCAATTTATTTGCCTTTGTTCTTCCCAAAGCCTCACTCAAATGAAGATGAGGAGCGGCTGCACAATCTAAATGTCAGAGGAGTGTTGTCTTTCTACCTCAACAGGTCCAGGCAATTCCACTTGTCTCTGCAGCTTTGTGTAGCAATCGTGTACAGAATGAAAGGGCTCCCATTCTCTTTACAGAAGATTTAATCTTTGCTTCCTGTATTTGCTTGTGCTGTGACTTATCAAGTGCTGCTCCACCAAACAGAATGACAATATATTCAACGAGATTGCAAGCGGTGTCTTCAGCCATTCTGGGTCAAGTGCCTGTCATAGACATTGGTAAAGTGGTAACTGGGTCTTCAATACATGTTTGCAGCTCATTATACATCACTTAACAGTCTAAAAACAATGCGAGATTTGGGTGAGCTGTTCTCAAGTCTTTATTCAGATAGACTCTGATCCAGCCTCCTGATTTCACAGCTTGAGAGTCACTGAAAGTGGAATGTACATGTGCAATCACGAGGGGGGGAAAAAAGGTTACCAACCGGTTCCACAACTGTTGTTCATTGAGATGTGTTGCACATGCTCATTCCACAGCCCACCCTCTTCTCCCTCTGCATTGGAGTTTCCGGCAAGAATGAACAGAGGTGTCAGGGGTGGATCTGCCCTTTATGCCTGCTCAAAGGGTGCACTGCAGCAGAGGGTGCTTGACCCACTCTCACAGATACCACTGAGGAAAAAGTTGCAACAGCCATGCACAGGATGCCCATACAGAGTGAAATGGACATATGCAACACATCTCGAACAGCAGTTACGGAACAGGTTAATGACCTTTTTTACTGTGCATGCAGAATAACCTTTTTGTTTTATTGTGCTGTATTGAAGTCCATGAGATGATGCATTTAAGTTAATAAAAGGATTTGCTGTCTTAGAAATGTACAGGGTGCAAAACTTTTACATCTTCACAGAAATAGAAAGGGTTTGATACCATCAATTAGGATCATAAATATTCATTGCTCTAGTTAATGTTTGTTCAGTGCCTTGGAGAGTAAGGGTTTGTCTGTACTGCATTTTAAAACCTTTTGCAGCAAGGCTCAGAGCCTGGGTCTACAGACTTGGGCTTGCACTATGGCGCTAAAATCAGCAGTGTAGACATTTGGACTAGAGCTTTGAAGCCCAGGGAGGGATTAAGGCTTCAGAGCCTGAGCTGCAATATCTACACTGCTGTTTTTAATGCAGTAGCGTGAGACCAAAATTGTAGACCTGGGTTCTGAGACTCACTGCTGCAGGTTTTAAAACACAGCATAGATGTACCCTCTAACAGCTATAAGAGTTCTCAGTACTATTATAATTCTAGAAACCAATGTAGAGATGTTATCTGATGATGAATTTGCATCTGTCTCCCTTATGAAACAAAATCTTTTCAACTCTGCTTCCATGTGGCTGTCACCTTCATGGAGGAGCCTTTACTTGACTCAAATATACACCATATACACTCTCCTACTTACCTTAAAATTAGCTCAGGGAGACCCCAATGGTGTTTGAAATTGTGATTCACTCTGTCCTGAGGACTAATAAACCTACCAATGAGATGCACATTAACAATGCACCTCAACTCTTTGCTTGCCTCTGAATGGCCTTGATACACAGGGTACATCTACACTGCAATTGGGGGAGCACAGGTAGGCATACCTGAACTAGTGTGATTGAACTTACTAAAAATAGCAGTGTAGCCTAGTTACCCTAGGGTCCCAGACAGAATTGTACGTGGGTGGCTAGCCCATGCCACTATGGCTGCACTGCTATTTTTATCAAGCGACAGTGGTCGAAGTTAGCTCTGGTACATATGCTCCAGTTGCTGTATAGCCATACCCACTATGTGCTCAAAAGGGAGTGCATTTAGTTTATACTCTTTGGCAGGCCACAACTTGAAGATATAGATTATACAGAAACTAACAGGCATAGTTGTAATGCTAACAAAACTTTTTCAAAGAAAAAAATGTAAAGTTTACAACTTACTTCAGAGATTTCCTGGCACTGGAAACTGGGAGAGTGGCTGAATATATTCCTTAAATTATCCTCAGATGAATAAATTTTAAGATCAGTTCACTTATTTAGCAGTGTGGTCATCCCTCGAAGCGCTGGGCCAGCCTGAGTTTAGTCCATTTTTTTTTCTTTTGCTCCTGAAGAGTGTGTGTGTGTGTGTGTTGGGTGCAACTTCAAAATTACCATTGCTTCACAACAGATCAAGCCAAAAATTGAAGGATGCCGTTCATGCCTCACTTAAATCCCAGATGTTTACTTCAACTAATCCTTTTCAGGAACATAGTCGCCTTTATGTTCTGCTTGATTTTTAAGCAGTTCATCTTGTAAATTGATTTCTGAGCAGCTACATGACAATTTACCATCTATCTGCCATCTTCAGATTAAATATTTTATTCCCATAAATAGAAAAACATGAAAATAAGGGGAAAACTTCATTGCCTATTTTTATTACTAGGAATGATTTTCAATATGCATGTGTTGGTTCTGGAACACTTTATATCATTGCAAGTCTGTATTGTCGAATATATTCATTTCCGTGGGAATGGGTGTGGTAATAAAAAGTAGTTGCCCCATTCTTGAGCAGCTCTTGAAATGAAAACAAGATAATTCACACTTAAATGAGAGCCACACGGTGTCTCACTGGGTTACCCTTCCATGCATTTTTGTAACAAACAAGGTATTTTATTTACTCTAATGTCTGTTTTTCTAGATCTGTCAAAAGCATTTCAGTTTGTAAATATTCCCAGCTTGGTAGCTAAAATATTTATACAACCCTACTGAGCATATGGAAAATATTCTATGCCTGTTCCATGTGTCTTCCCAGTTGACTCATCTTCATAATTCATGGAAGTATTAACCTAAGATGCTCTCAGACGTCAGTGCTATAAAGGTTGATTTGCTTATTAGTTACTTTCCTTTCTTAAGTCTCTCCCAGAAATCTTGCTCTGCTATAGAAAGATATCATAGCACAACAAGTAGTGTGGTTGTGCCCACAAATACATTCAGATAACTAAGTATTTCAGTAACCTCCTCCTACAATATTGATAAAAATGTGGGGACTCTGCCTTATGAAACCAAGTCTTCCAATCAGTTTCAAATTCTAAAACTGATTTTAGTGTAGAAAGTCACGGTCACATGTTAGTTTCCCCAAACATAAACATTTCTTTAGGGGGGAAGATGTGCTTATTCTGTTTTTCTTCTTTAACAGGAAAGAAATCAAAGCATTAGAACAGTTTTCTATGTAGAGTTTCAATTATTGGTGATAATCCATAGTTGTATAAATATAAACACTGATCAGTATATGGCACTCTCAAACATTAAAATATAACCAAATACACTTTTGTTTCTAGGTGAAACATTTAGAGAACTAATGGATAAGTTCCTGAGGGTTAACTTCAGTAAAGGCTGCCCACCCTTGTTTACCACTTTGAAATCTTTATATTACAATACAGAAAAGGTAAATTTTAGTATTTATTCAGTTTTCATGTAATCTGCTGTACTAATTTAAGTTGTAAGTGTATTATATAGATTCCTCTGGAATTTACAAATGACTGTAATTCAGCAATCTCCTACTTAGTAGTTAGTGTGCTGCTTTCACTACAGAATTACTAGGTGATTACTCATCACGTAGTAATATGTACATATCTGTATTACATTTGATGACTTTGATATTGTCAGAATCAGATACAAATATGTACAGAAGTTTGACAAGTCAAGGATAAATGAAGACTAATCTACAAAACTGTATTCTTTGTCCTGGGATGCAAATGTGTCAGGGTTGTTTCAATTTGTGGTTTATGCTGTCACAAGAAGTCTTTATTATTAAATAGACAACAGGTAATAGTTCTGAATTGTGGTAATACAGTAATATATGCTACAGAGATTTGTTCCATATGTCAGTTTGTGTAAAGTTTGTGTAGTATTATTACATATGAGCAAGTCTAAAATCTCAAGCTATGTTCTGTTTTGTACTAAAACTGCTTTTCCAGATTTAATTATTGGTTTTAAAGTGTCAGAGGAGTGTGTGTGTGGGGGGAGAGGTGTGTGTGGGGGGGTGTGTATATATACACAAACTGTACATGTACAAAATGTATTCAACAATATATTATAATGCACTTTGTATGAAAAATTTTACATAGTGAAGTTGAACTTAAACTGTGTGATTTTAAAAACTTTAAAATCTCCTTGATTTTTCCAACTATATGGAGAATCCAAAAGTTTGAGATGTTCAGGAATATTGATATGGATGACATGAATTGTAATAGAGAGAGTTCTTCACCGAGGATGGGCAAAATTAGGTGGGGTGGGAAGTGCTCGGAGTAGGCCACTGTGTACTAATGAGAGGAAAGGGTTAGTCACTGCTTCCACTGTGGCATGTTTTTACCTGAGAAGTTTTCTTGCCACCAGTCAAGTTGGGAACATGAAATCAGAACTTTTAAGATTGCCAACTTATTCAGAGAGACTAACCAATAATTTGTATGCAGAGACAGAGGCAATTATCACATTTATATGGCTTAGTATGGGAACACAGGATTTACATTTGTGAAAATACATAGTTTTTTTCCCCCTGGAAGGGGATGGGGTGGGATTTCTTCAAGTTTTGTTTTTTGCATTTCACTCACTCATTTGTTTATGGAAATACCATATTTGAAAGGGTTTTGAAACAAGAAAATTCGGTCTACCATCAGTCTGAATAAAATTTAACTATTTTGAAATTAAAAGAGAAGTGATGAATGTCAAGGATGTTATCCCTGTAACAACTTTCTAGAAGCTTGGGGTGGGAAGGAATAGTTACTTATGTTTTGAGGGAGGGGTATGTCTGCTTCGTAGAATCAACTGTCACTGGATATTGGAGTCTGGAGTTGTGAATTGATTATGGGGACTTGGTTTGAAAGAATCTTGCACAGGGCCTGGTAATACATGATTTTAGGAAAAACTAAAATCAACATTGATTATTAATAGAAGATGGTTGGTTGATTGTGTGAAATTACCCTGTAATGGCTACAAGCATCTGTACTGGGGGAAAATACACTTCTACTCAATGCGACAAATTCTGTGTGTGGAAAAAAGAAAGATGTGAAGTATTGTGTCCAAGTTGTGAAGATGCCACCCAAAAATGCAGAGAAAATTATGGCAAATTATGACTTTGGTGTTTTATCAGACAATGAAAATAAAGATAACTTCTCAAGTACAGTAACATGAAATCTTTGACAAAAAAACATGTAACACAGTCCTGAGGTACGTCATAGATGTTAGACTGTTCTGTCACAGCTGTCATTCAGTTTCATGATTGGTTGGTTGATAGGAAAAGGATTGATTTCCAAGTCTCCCATTGATACTCAATGGAACTCCCAGGAAGGTTTTGTGTCTCTGCATCCAGATCATATATGTAGAAATTAACACAGCAGGAGAACTTTGATCAAAATATACCAATAATTTTGTATTAAAAGGGACTCAACAGGGAGGTATTAAAGTTATAAACATGAGATTTGAAAGAGAACAGATTGTAGGCTGATAACACTACGGTTGCAGTTTCAGTGGAAATGTAGTTGACCTAAATTTTAGAACAAAGACCTCGAAGGATAAAATCAAGTAAACAAAATAAACTCAGGAAAGCTATGGAACCTATTCCTATTTATTCAACTTAACCTTTGTATTTGGGATCAGTGTTATTGGTTGAGCCCCTGGGTGGGAAGAAGAGCTTGAATTGTGGTTCATGAAATGTAATCCTGTGTACGTTCCTTCCCTTCCGCAAATGTGGTTGCGGAAGTAGTTTGTAGCAGTTCACGGCATTAAAATGGTGAAAAATTGTGAAAGTAAAATATCAGGCGATAGAACTTTTGAGTTCAGAATTTTGTACATTTTTAAAGACTTCCACTCTTTTTTGTCAGCTCAGCATCAAGTAAGCACATTTTAGTACATTGTGATTGGTTTGGTCAAAACCTCTTAATAGCTCAGGTGCTGAAAAAGTAAATTGATACATGTGTTTAAATATCTAAGAGTAGATACAAGAGTGGGAGGCCTAAGTGAATAGATTTGTGGAACCAAATATACCTCTACCTCGATATAATGCTGTCCTCGGGAGCCAAAAAATCTTACCGTGCTATAGGTGAAACCATGTTATATTGAACTTGCTTTGATCCACCGGAGTGTGCAGTCATGCCCT